TCGCCTTAACATGGGGCTGCGCCATGAGCTTCACATGTGCCTGTCCTAGGCCTACACTGCACAAACGGTCATTCGACGCACTCACCCATACGTATTGGCCAATCGTGCCCGCATGACTGCTGCCTGCTGCTACCTGCTTTGACAGAATATCTGCCCGCAGGTAGGTCTTTCCTCCTCCCCAAAATTCTGGGACTCGACATCAAGAAAGCGCGTCCATTTCATATGGTGCAATATAATTTCGGACACACATCCGCATCTTCCTCAGGAAGTTCCACAAGCAAAAGATGTGCCGAGGACCTTGTCCCGTCGCACTGACTGCAGATTCTCCTTGGCTGCATGGTCATTGATGCTTTTACGAAAATGTCAAATATCTACGTTTATTTGGGAGCTCTAAAATATTCTAAAATGACCTTCGCGACATTTGAAAAGCCGCCAAGACCAAAATGCGAACACTCAGCGGAAACGACCGTAATCTGGACGCGTTTGAAGACCTGCAAATCAGCTAGCCGCATCACTGAGAATGATTGAGCTTCTTTCCAGAAGCTGGAAGTTGCGGCCAACACTTCATACCCCTACTAATACTCTTGCTAATGTTGTTCTTTCGTATTGTTATTAGTACTACCATTCTTATCGTTAATTTTCCTACTATTACTATTAGTAGTACTAGTGATTATTATCATTATTATTATTCCCATTATTGTTTTTATTACTAATTACTATCATTATTCCTATGATTATTATTATTATTCTCCTACTCCTACTACTACTACTACTACTACCACTACCTAATTATACCATTATTGTTGTAATTACTAATTATTATCATTATTATTACTACTACTACTGCTACCACCGGTAAGGCCATGGCTCCAGGCTCGGAGCGCCTGCCAAGATTTCTGAAGTTGTTCGGATCGCCGATGGGGTCCAAAGGGTGTATGTAGCCAGATGGTTTGTGCGCCTTCCTTTAGGGCTTAGGGTTTACTTGGGGGTTCATGGCTAGATCTTACTGGGGCGAAAACACCCGACTCGAGCGCTAGGTTCAGCTGCCCTGCACATCGCCCCTATATCCTCACCTGCCTCATCCCCGAAGACTGCACTTGGAGGTTCAGGGCCAGAGATCACAGGGGCGATAACCCTTTACGTGAATGCTGGTTGCAGTTGCCCTCATCGCCCACTATAACCCACTCTACTTGCTACTTCCCAAGACCTGCAATTAGGTCTCAGCAAGCCCGCTTTGGCTGTGCAAAGGGCCGAATGATACTAGATCAACTGGGCGCAATCCTTCCGATGCTTCTACACATCCATGACAGCAATTGGCAACGACGTCACAGCCTCCGTCCCTGTACCAGGATTCCTGCATAAAGCATGAGGGCTTCAACCTTTTCGGGCTACACCTTCCGGCACCTCTCACTTTCCAAAACTGCTGAATGCTATGCAGTCATGACAATGGTGATTCAGGCTGGTGGCCTGTTTATCTGTAATTGTACAGCTTAGAAACCCCAGAGAAAATGTGTCCTCATGGAACCATAAACCCCTTAAGCCCTGAGCCCCCTGACTGCAAGGCCCAGCTGCCTGAAACCTTACTGCCCAAACCTCGAAATCCATGCCCCCAAGCCCCAAACTCCCTCAACAAAAACGTGAGCTATAGTCTACACTCATAGTATCCCCCTTACTAACTGATACTCCCCCATAGCATCCCCTATATGACCCCCCTTTCAGGACTATGGCTCACATGGTGTGCGGATGCTTTCTAGGGCTCCCGGCGCAACGCACTTCTGAGTGCCTGCCCAACCCGGAGGCGGCCTTCAAACTGTCAAATTCATCCCTATGGTGGATACCAAAATGGGAGTTTCCCAAATTAAGGGTACCATTTTGGGGATCCCCATCATATGGATTGTAATATTTTGGGGTTTGTAGTGGGGTGCTCCTATTTTGGGAAGCTACCAAATATCCTGCTTGACCCAAAATACTTTACACCTGAGGAGTTATGGTGCCATGGTATATTGTGCAGGACCTGTCTTGACTTATTGAGTCTCGCTTTATGTTTGCCATCTGCTCATTAGATTTCTTTTCATTAAATTTCTTCTCAACTGCATCACCAAGCGTAGGCATATTAAACGTGTTCATTTGTATGTTCGTCTCAAACACAATCTGTGTCCCTTTACCTCTCCTTTCAATCTTGCAATCTCGCCTTTCACTGTTGCCATTGCTTTTTGCAAGCTATCAGTTTTGCTTCAAGCATTCGTTAGAGCACTCTATATAGCAGGCGTTGTCGCACAGTCCACATCGTGAACCTCACAAGCGGTCGACCTGTGAACCTGTACCAGACCGACAAATGCTGCACAGGACCCAACAAACAGAACACTGTATCATCAGAGTTCACATAAATAATGTTCATTACCTTCTTACTACATTCTGCCATTCACCGGGGACTTTACCAATAAAGCATCATTAGCAACAAAACTTCGAACGTGCTACCTACCTCCTCGTTTGTCACCAATGACTTGTATGTTCTAGGGTTCATGTATTCACCTGAGTCCACTGCCTTTTTCTGGCTAAGCTTTAATCTCCTTCTTCAGTCTTCATCGGATGAAGGGATTGAAGACCTTATCTATTCAACATCGCCATTTACATATAAATTAGAATGAACATCACATACTGTTTCGCCTGCAATGAGTTAGAAGTATTGTTTAAAACTAAACAAAGGTTGTCTGCCAGCGTCTGGAATATTATATTTCAGTCTTTCTTTTTTGAAACTGTGCCATGTGTAATTTCCAAACTATCAAATATAGTAACTTTACCATCTGTGAAATGATTTTCTGGCGTTGATACTTCTGTTCCCTACTATCAAATTTGATTCACCTAATCCATCGCCATTTCTCACATACATTCTATATTGTGCGTCTAAAGCTTCTCTGATTTCTCCTGCGCTCTGTAAGAACTTAGGAGTTGGGATTTAACGTGCATCACAAGGCATTTCGTGATGATGGACATGCGATGCTACCTCTATGAGTGGCAAGTCTTTCATACTTGGTCATGGCAAAAACGCATTCTGAACAAACGAAACGACATCGACTACAACAATCCCCCCAAGTGATGTCATCAGTAGCTGATGGGTTCATCATGGGATGACAGCCAAAAATGCCATGATGACCACGGTAGGAACCACAATGACCAGGTTGCAATCGCAGAAGCACGTGATGGACATGAGAAGCTAATTAGGCTCACAGCTTGGCATTAATCTTTGAAACTGCAAAGTTCAGGCGGCCTGTGTCTGCCACGGACCACCTAGATAATGAATGAATTGGGGTACTGTAGACCGTATACTACACCTAGAGAAGCACTATGCGGGAAATTTATGAGAACTTGAAAGCAAACGCTAGGCTTGGCACGGTGGCTCCGTGTCCGTGACAGGCTCCGTTGTCAAAGGCAAGGTCTCGTAGGCGTCCCGTATCTTAGACTGGGTTGCTGTTAAGGAACTTCAATTAAGTTACCACAATGGTTTCCCCAATGTGGTAGTTTCCCAAAATAGGGAGACCCCAATATAGACCCCCCAATACTACAGTCCTTTTTATAGGGACCCCCAAAATGGTAACACTTAATTTTGGGAAACCCCCATGTAGCGACGTAAACTAAGCCCCTGAACAGCAACCCAGTTGAAGGGCATCAACAGCTGCAGGCATGGAGCCACATCTGCTATGAGGTCAGGTGCTGAAGAATATGGCTACTAAATAGGGGTTATATAAGGATAATGGAAAAAGAACACGGAAACTACTATTTAGGGCTTAGGGGCTTTTCGGCTGAAAACTGAAAGCCCAAAGCCAACATATTGCCGATTCGGGGCTAAACTTATTTCGTATAAACAACATCATTGTGCATGAGGTTGGTCGAGTTCGCTGCAAGTGGCCCACCAAATGTGGTGTTACACTCATAACCTCCCATTATCGCTTCTGGCAGTAGTCTAGTTGCACGTGGAGGATCGAACTGCTCCATAAAAAGTGCACAACACCAGGATCACATCTGAGCCCAGCAACAGATGGCGTCAGTATCCGATCCAGCTCTAGCTGGCCGATGACCTTGTCTCTCGCATGATCTTTCAAATTACGACAGGTAACATTGAACATTGAACATGAATGTATCCCCTCCTTTGGCAAGTAACACCCATAGAGAGAGATCTGACGGGTATTTCATGTTGTCAGTAAGCCTGGACAGCACGGCCAGCCATGCTCTCGTCACTTTCTAGTGCAACCTGGTCCTACGGGAAATTGAGGATATCTTGTACCACTTCATATCCACAAGAAACCGTAGTTAGCAGTACCAGGGCTATTTAGGGTGGTGCAAGAATTTCTCTATCCATAGTACGACTGTGTTCCCTGCACGTTCTCGCTGGAAGGCTTCCTTGGCGCCGTAGAGCTGCACAGCTTCGGCCTGGGCATGTGGGCTTTGTGGTGCGCCACGCTTTGTTCAAAAAGTGGGTAGCTATCAGGTGGGTCCCCTTGAAGAAGCCCATGTGGACCTCATGTAGCCCTAATTGCCCTTATAACGGCCTTGTCCGAATCTTATATAGGGGTACCCACCTGGTAACTACCCACCTGGGGTTGACCTTAAGATTGGTGTCAAGATTGTTGCCGAGCAACTCAGAGCAAAGGACTCTTTCACGGCCTTTTGTCCGCTTGAAAGTACGCATGACATCGCTTGGCGCTGGCGGAGCTTCATGTTTTAGAAGCTACTGGCCGCGCCGCTCAAGACCTTGCTTTTTCAGTGCACGGAGGCCGGCCGCATCGCTCACGCGACCGCATGAAATCAGCCTGCATGCTGGCTAAGATCATTATACATGGAGTTTTGGCTACCCAGCTACCCAGCAAGGCATGGGAGAGTGCCAAACCCCACACCACAGATCCTAGTCCTTAAAGTACTTCTGGCGTATACGGGAAGCAATACTCCGGCCCATAATCTCCACGGGGACAGGCTATTGCCTTCCTTGCCCCCCACCTCGGCTTCTAAACATAGTTTTCCAGCAAGGAGGCAGACGCTGTGCAGCGGAAGCCCAGGCAGCGACCTTTGGCCTCACAGGAACATTTCTTCTTGTGCCGGTGGTGTTGGTACTTTGCTAATCTTTCTGATTTTGCTGCAGCGACGACGACGGCTTTGACTACCCATGGCAGCCAGTTCAAGTACCAACAACAGCAATGACCCCTAGCAAAAGCTACGTTAGCACCGTTAGCAGCAATAATGGCAAGTGTAAGCATCTGAAGCTACCCGCGGATTGGCCGACACGAACTTTGCGAATTCCACGTAATCATGCCGCTGGTGAATGATTGGTGCAAGGCACACAGCCTGGCCTCTGGGTGCCGTCCTCTTCTGTAGCTGCTACGTGCCAACCTGCAAATAGGCATCACTCTCATGTGCGCACTGCAAGGCATATTATGGCCCATCCCCCTGAAAAGAAAATGAGAAATGCAGTCTCTGAAGCCAAGGCACGATGCTGGGCCAACCCAGCTTCCTCCCCGCTCGCTCTTCAAGGCGCCCTCTTCAGCATTCCAGGCATCTGGTAAGCTGGCTTCAGTGGCAAGGTAGAAGTTGCTGTGGTACGTGTCGCGGCACCATTGCCACACATTCCCCGCCATGCCTCTCAATCCAAATGGCGACATCCCAAGCTTCGCATTCACCGGAACGAGGGGCAACTCCTCAAGAGGTGTGGCCACGTGGGCTGCGACGTTGCCTTTGTTGTCGTAGGCAGTCGTATCCCAACACACGTTCAACAAGTCGGCTGTAGCCGTATCATTGCCCCAAGGGTACTGCAATGGCTCTGCACCCCGAGCCGCGTACTCCCACTGGGCTTCTGTGGGAAGGAAGCTCTGCTCAGCACTCTTGTAGCCTCGCCAGTCGCATCCATGCGCCTTACATGACAATGCAGGGTATCTGAGACACGGCCATCAAAAGAGTTCCAGGCAACCAGAAAAATTTAAAGTGCACCTCCCCATCAGAACTGCTAAGTATGTTTGGATGCTGCCAGCATGCCCAGAGTGCATAGGCATTTGCACCGTACCAGGATACGAGGATCATCGGCCAGTTCGGAGGCACTCCGGGCTTCACCTTGCGTGGGGGAAATGATTTTGGAAGCTTCGCGTCAGGGGTATGGATGAGGTTGGGTCTTTTAATTCTGATTTGATTGATTGACTTCAACCAGGCCTGCCAGCCACTCTCAGCTAGCGTAAGAGGAATGTGGCAGCATCTGGCATCTTCAGCCGGCAACAAGCACCAGTCGAAGAGCTGATCCTGCGTTGGTTGGACTATGTTGAGGAAACGGGCGAACGCACCCATGCTCACAGGCTCGATGTCTATCAAGAAGCCAGTGAGCTGCACCTCGTGACTGGGGCCCTCGTTGTCACGCCCACTCTGCATGGAATCATCCCCAATGCGGGCCGTGCTCTCTGGAATCCGCATGCACTCCATACCATCCGTCACACGTGAGAATCGCGCACCGGATGTGTCAATGACCTGGTATGGATAGGAGGTTGTAATGGGAACGTCTCCCCCTGTAGTCATCTGTGTGAAGGGAGCCATGTCATAGCTGGCATGGGGGTGAGCAGTACTTTGGCTCTCAAGGCTCTTGGTCCTCTGGGACTTAGGCAGGTCCACAATGGCCTGAGACAGCTGTTCGATAGTTGGATTGTCGAAGACAAGCCTGGGATCAATCTCCACGTCTGGAAACTCTCTGCCCAGCTCGAAGGCATCCATGATGATGCATCTGGAATCTCTTCGTGTCAGGATACTGTCGCTTGGGCGAAGCAGCAGATCTGGGTCATTTGGGTCAAATTCCGGAGGCTCTGACATAGCCTTCTCTTCCTCAACACCCTGTCCGGCACGCTCGTTCAGGATGCGGGACACTTTTTGCAGCACGCCGTCAAGGACGGCCTGCGCTTTTTCTTGTGCCTCCGTCTCTGGAATTTCCATCATGTTGCAGTGAGTTTACCAGCTTTGAAGTGGGCTCTGCAGAATCCCTGAGCCAGGACCCTTCGACATGGTCATATAAGGGGATATATAGGGGTTATGTATGGGGATATATAGGGGCTATATAGGGACTATGTAGGATAATGGAAAATGGAAGCTACGAATTTAGGTTCCAGTACACTGCTCACAAATCAGGTAAGTAAGGCACTTAACCTGGAGCGTAGTGACAGCAGGAGCTAAGCAACACACTTGTGGACATTGCGCTCGCTGACGTGCCGACTCTGCTCTCTGACGTGCCGCTCAGGTGATGTAGAGGAGATAGGCCCAGATAGGCATTATCTGTCTACTCTGGGTACATTATGGTTGCAATTGCAGTGTTTATGCAGGAATTCCATCTTGTCCTTTCCAGTCTTCCTTTGCAGTAAATGATTCCTTTTTAGCCATCTCATCTTACACTTACTGTGTCATTGCTACTTAGGCTTTCCCATGGCCATTGCCACCATCATGGCTACTATCACCATTCTCATGCTATGTTTGCTGATGTTAGCTGAATTTTGCTGCTGCTGCTGCTGCTGCCTTCTGCCTTCTGCTAATACTGGTGGTACTCTGGCAGCAGTTCAATTACCATCATGACCAGCACCACCAAAGTGGGTAAGTCTACGGCTACAGCTATACTGACCATGATGGTCATGGTGCTGGCGACGACGATAACGTCTTCTTCTACTGCTGGCTACATTGCTGGTGTCACTTTTGTGAAGATGCGTGTTTCCCAAAATTCGGGGTACATGTTTGGGGCTCCCCATGATAAAGATGGTTCTTATTGGGGTCCCCCCCACTTTGGAAAAAAAGTACCAAATAGTCTGCTCAGCTCCGCACGTAGGGCGGGACAAGTTGCTCAAGCTCTACCATCAACTGCGGTGTCACCTTGCCCAATGTAGACACTTGATCCGGTTTACTGGTAACAACGGGGGTGACCAATAACAACGGAGGTGACGTGTGAGTACTGAACATGCGTAGAGCACAAGGCCTCCTTCGCTTTGGCCACAGCACCTTGAAGACAGCGGCCCACAAAAAACATCGAATGTCGAGACTTTCCAGAGGAAGTGGCTTCGAGGAATGCAAGATTGCGTAGAACATGCGAACTCCACTATGGTGGAAGCCCACGCTATCACGCTTCTCTGCTAGGTGTATGCCAGCTTGTGGCGCGCCTGTAACTTTGCCAAGCACTGTCAACACCATCAGACAAATCGAGGCGATCTCTGACCCAGTACCTGCCAGCACGCTCCGAAAGGAATTCATCGTCGGGCCCCAATAGCTAGGAACGGGATTTGAGGCCTGTGGACATGTTTAAGGAATTGTATACTGGTCCACATGATGGCTATACGCATGTGTTGCTGGTAATAGCTTCTTATCTTGAGTTGCTACTGCTGTTGCTTTGCCATCGTCGGTTTTTGCGCTCGCATTATCTGACTATGATGGTGCTGTTGCTAGCAGGCATGTGTACCTCAGTGCCGCTGGTATTGTTATTGGCTGTGTCACCTACCTATAGCATCACAATGAATGACAATTCAGACGACTATGACTACTCGGCTGATTGATGACAAATTGTAAATGCCATTCCTCTTCCAGAAACGTAACGACTGCACTCCCACTTTGATGCTGGAAGGTGTCGTCACGCCATTGTGGGAGAGGATACCCTTTACCGCCAACGTTGCTGACCTTCGCGCGCTGACTAGATGACGCTGAAAAGTCGGGAGCTCGCGCCCACAGCCTAGTACCCTTGCGAATCATCATGGAGGAACGAGTGTTGGAGAAGCGTGCTGCCTTACCAAAACCGATTCCAACCCTCTCCGAAAACCACGCTATTCCTTCCTCCAGATGCGGGTCCGCAGAGAACGTGCTGTAGGCCGAGAACGCCCCGCAGAAATCGCTACAAAAGCAGCCATTGGTCGGAAAAACGATGGTAACACTCAGGACAGCAACGTTGTTTCCTTCACCAAACCCAGAGCCCCAAAGATCCCAAATCCTAAAATCCTCAACCTTAAAATCTTTAGCCCAAATTCCCTAAGCCTCAATGCCCTAATCCGTAAGTCCTAAAATGAGCTATAGTCTCAACTCCTCGCATCCCCCTTAATAACCCCTGTAATCCTCCATCATATAATCCCCTATATAACCCCCTTCAAGGAGTTTAGACCCTAAACCCTATAAAACCTCCTTTAAGGAATTTAGACTATAGCTCGAATGCGGGCAAGCCAGCCGGGGGCCTAAGCCTCTGCCGGAGGCATCGAAGAGAGCATGAAGAAATCGGGCCTGATGAACATTCTGCTTGCCGATTCTGGGTTTAGGGTTTAAGGGAGTATTATGTTTGGGGTTGTATAGGGGTCCACAGGGATAAAAGGGGGTTGCTTGCAAAAGGGCCTATAATCTTGATCGCAAGGATGTGCGACTAGAGTCCTCCTGCAACAGAAAATCAAATTGATAAGGTAATGGACAATGAAAAGGAAACTGGGAGTCGCAGGAATCTAGGGGTTACATTTTATGTGGCCTTATGCGGCATTAGAAGAATGGAAAATCAAATGCAGAATGGGTCGTGGTGATGTGTAGGGATTCAGGGAAAATGGGTCGTAGTGATATGTAGGATTCAGGGGTCACTTGCTAGCTGCTAGTAGAGAATGAAGGAAGAAGGGGAAAGCACACACATGAAGACACTTTATATCTTAGAATTCACTCGGGCCTACCAAAGGGATTATCAGTCACAAAAAATCAAGGAATAGCCCCATGTAGACTGAGACCTCCAGATCATTTGCTGCTGTTGTTTTGGTGCAGGACTTATACCGCGAGGTAGCTGCTCCAAGAGAGGCGCCTAATTCTGGGAAGTCCAGCGTGTATGGGTCGCAGGTTTCATTGGCACCAGCTAGGCGGCCACAAGCCAACAGTCTTCTGGTAGTTTCCCAAAATAGGGGACCCCAATATAGACCCCAAAATAATATAGTCCTTATTATAAGGATCCCCCAATAAGGTACCCCTAATTTTAGGAAACCCCCTTCTGGCTGCTGTACGTCTTCTGTGCTGGCCAGGTCTGAAATCGTGCCGCAATTGTCGGAGTTCGGCAGTGAGAAGCTGAGGTGTGCCAACAGCTTGCCGTGGTCTTTGCCCGCATGATTGGAACACCCCTCGATCATTTGCAATGTTGCACATTTACATGGGTTGTTGTATACGTCCGCCCAAAATCTGCAGGTTCTTGGAAAACGGTTTAACGTCTCAAGCTCAAAATCTCCAAGCCCCGCCAAAAGCCGATTCAACACACATACCATTCACAGAACTACAAAAGCCACTCATATCATACTCGCACAGGACCGGTAGGAAAGAGCATTTCTCTCATTAGGGTCCCCAGAACTTCACCCCCCAAAATCATGCTAGACGCGCTGGAACGGAACCTAAAGCTATAGTCCCCCTTAAGTAGATAGAATATGGCTTTAGGTAGATTATAATAAGACCCCCCCATATACTCCATATTCTATCTACTTAAGGGGGAACTATATGAGAATGCATGCCAGATCCCCAATCCGTGGGCACCTTCTCATCCAAAAGAGCAGAGCTGAAGACACAGGAAACTGTGAGGAGCTCCTTGATGCTGCAAAGCCTGGAGATACTGGGAGGGTTTCCCAAAATTAGGGATACCCTTTTGGGGTCCCCATAATAAGGATTACAGTATTCTGGGGTCTATATTGGGGTTCCTTTCCCCCGTGTTTTGGGACATTACCACTTGGAGGGTGAGTGTGACTTCATAAGTAGGTTAGTCATGGGGATAAAGTATGGTTGCTACATCGGTTATAAGGCTTACGCACCTACTTACTAAGCCCCCCTGACCCTTCCAGTAGTGTAGAGCATGCAAGGTAGAAGCCAGACAATTCACGTCCAACATTTGGGGTTATACAGGGAAAGGTTTGGAGTCCTGTCAGTACAGATCATTGGGGGGAAGGAGGTGAGGGGGTGGAAGCGCTGAATTATAATATTGTTACCAGTAATAGTAATTATAGCAGTAGAACTTACAGTAACGGTACAGTACTAATAATAACGTTTTTTTTGGCCTGATGGACTTTGCCAAAGAGCTCATCATGGTCAGGACATCGGCTGTTTCAGCAGCCTCCGTTGTATCCATATGAGTCTGTCTGGGAATCCAACCGCTGAAGCCAACTTGAAATCACCCCAGCTTACTCAGTCTTACCTGCTTGCGCTTCCGCATGGGTCGCAAGTGAAGGCGGCCAATCTCTGACTATCTATTCACACTTCAGTAGTTTTAGGGCACTTCAATCAGGTAGGAGGACATTTGCTACGATCTTCGGGAATGACGTTGAGGTAAAATCAACAAATACATGAATAATCGCAGAGTACAGCTGACGTTCAAGGTGTACATCTTGCAAGTGGAGACACTGACAGCCAACAAGCTACTGACCCAGGCATGACACTTCTCAGTCCCGGGCTCGTTCTGCTGGCTGAAGATATCCCACAGGAATAGCATGCTGGGCCTAGAAACCATGTGGATGCTATTGCGCAGGCTGCTGAAAGCCCACCTGTGTGGTAGTTCTCAAAATACATATCCACCCGCAGCATGGCGCTTGGCACGGGGACTTAAAGAAACAATATTCTTATTGTCACTCGTATTATTATTACTACTATTGTTGCTATTGTTATTTTCATTGTTACTACTATTATAATCCATGATAATACACCTCCACACTACACGGCAATCCTCACGTCTGAGCTCATCAACCCTGATGACTCCGGGCGCCTTGCGCTTTCAGACAAAGAAGGTCCTGCACCCTGAGCTGTGCTTGATGGAGGGTTCATAGGGTTGATGAAAGGTCACCATGGTTTACGGCTTCGGGTTTGGGGCATAGGGTTTAAGGCTTAGGGTTGATGGTTAACGTGGGGTTTAGGGTTTTTGGGTTTAGGTTTACCGTTGCTACGATCCATGTTGGACACTCATCTATGGCTACGACTCA